ATACAGAACCCCCATGACCAACAACTGACCACCTTGATTAGCATTTGATGGTCTGGCAGTGCCTGGAGCAATCTTTTGTTGAGAGGTTATTACATGTCCTTGTTTGTTTTCTCTCTGTTGTTGTGCTGTTGTAATTTTAGAGTTTTTTTAGGGCTAATCAAGGTGGTCAGTTGAAACATTCACACCTAGCTCCAGCAGACAAGAGTCCTTTGTCTCACCCTGGTCATTCCACAGATATATAAACCCATTTTCCTAGTTCCAACAGACCTCACTACCTCTGAGGATGCTTGCCATAGATGCAGGCGAAACATCAGGAGAGAGTGCCTCTAGAACATGGCCATATAGCCCAAAAAAACCTACAACAACCCAGTGATTCCGGCCATGAAAGCCTTCGACAATACAGTGATCATGACTACTTGCTGACCGGACGGTTGGCGGTTTGTATCCGCGGGATGGGGTGAGCTCCTGCTGTTAGCCCCAGCTTCTGCCAACCTAGCAGTTCGAAAGCATGTAAATATGAGTAGACCAATAGATACCACTTCAATGGGAATGTCATGGTGCTCCATGCAGTCATGCTGGCCACATGACCTTGGAGGTGTCTATGGACAACGCCGGCTCTCCGGCTTAGAAATGGAGATGAGCACCAACCCCCAGAGTCGGACACAACTAGACTTAATGTCAAGGGACACCTTTACCTTTACCTTTAGGATGATATATACCAGGCAAGGGCAAAGTTTCTACCGTGCGGGCCACATGCAGGGTGAGCTCCTGCTGTCAGCCCCAGCTCCTTCCAACCTAGCAGTTTGAAAACATGCAAATGTGAGTAGATCAATAGGTACTGCTTCGATGGCGCTCCATGGAGTCCATACCGGCCACATTTCTGGGGATGAGCACCACCCCCCCGGAGTTGGACACGTCTAGACTCAGGGGAAACCTTTACCTTTCCTTTTGGTGTTCTAAAATGCATTTCAATCGTGTTGCGTAGTGCAATCTGCTCAGGGCGATGTGAAGACAGAGCAACCATGACTGGGAGGTTTCTGCTTGCAGAGAGAGAAAGCTGCCATTGTCTGGCGGCGACACAGAGGAGAGATTGTGCCAGGCCAACGCTTTCGCGCTCTCCGCCTTGTTGCCTCTGGGCACCTGCAGCTGGCTCTGTCCCTTGTTCTCAGCCGGAATGTTTTCCATTGCGGTGGGTGGTGCCACCACGCTGTACCAAGGGCAAGGAAGGCTTCCCATGCCCTTCTCGGCCGGGAACTCAATGCCAGTGGCTGGTTTCGCTCAGGGATGGGAGTGTATGCCGACCGAGTGTCCACACTGTAGAGTTAATGCAGTTCGGCACCACTTTCGTTGCCATGGCTCAACACTAGGAAATCCTGGGAGTTTGGCGAGGTCCCCTTTTGGAATTTGCTGGGTTGTTGTAGGTTTTTTTCGGGCTATATGGCCATGGTCTAGAGGCATTCTCTCCTGACGTTTCGCCTGCATCTATGACAAGCATCCTCAGAGGTAGTGAGGATGCTTGCCATAGATGCAGGCGAAACGTCAGGAGAGAATGCTTCTAGACCATGGCCATATAGCCCAAAAAAACCGACAACAACCTAGTGCTTCCGGCCATGAAAGCCTTCGACAATACATTCACATTTGCTTCCAATAGATAAGGTTTCTTTCTTCCACCCTGGACATTATTCCACAGATAAATATAAGACTCCCCCAGGCAGGAAGCAGCCAGGCTTTGAAGTTGCAAGGCCGTTCAATGCAAAGATAAATATAAGACTCCCCCAGGCAGGAATTTCAAACCTGGTCCCCCCGGTGGTGCAGTGGGTTAAACCCCTGTGCTGGCAGGACTGAAGACTGACAGGTCATAGGTTCGAATCCGGGGAGGGCGTGGATGAGCTCCCTTTGTCAGCTCCAGCTCCCCATGCGGGGACATGAGAGAAGCCTCCCACAAGGATGGTAAAACATCAAAACATCTGGGTGTCCCCTGGGCAACGTCCTTGCAGACGGCCAATTCTCTCACACCAGAAGCAACTTACAGTTTCTCAAATTGCTCCTGACATGAAAAAAAAATTAAATTTATTATTATTACTGCTACTATTATTTAACATTATCATTACTACTATTATTAAAATATTATTCTAAACAGCCAATTCTCTCACACCAGAAGCGACTTGCAGTTTCTCAAGTTGCTCCTGACACGAAAAAACCTTTTTGCAATACCTCACTACCTCTGAGGATGCTTGCCAAAGTGCAGGCGAAACGTCAGGAGAGAATGCCTCTAGACCATGGCCATACAGCCCGAAAAAACCTACAACAACCCAGTGATTCTGGCCATGAAAGCCTTCAACAATACTTTTTGCAATAGTTTTTCAATGAGTATCTCATCGAGTCTCCACCAATTCAAACATATGTGTTCTCGAGGGCTTTCATGACCGAAATCACTGGGTTGCTGTGAGTTTTCCGGGCTGTCTGGCCATGTTCCAGAAACATTCTCTCCTGACGTTTCGCCCACATCTATGGCAGGCATCCCCAGAGGTTGTGAGGTCTGTTGGAAACTAGGAAAATTGGGTTTATATATCTGGGGAATGATGTCCAGGGTGGGAGAAAGAACTCTTGTCTGTTGGAAGCAGATGTGATTGTTGCAATTGGACACCTTGGTTAGCATTGAATGGCCTTGCAGCTTCAAAGCCTGGCTGCCTCCTGCTGGGGGGGGGAATCCTTTGTTGGGAAGTGTTAGCTGGCCCTGATTGTTTCCAGTCTGGAATTCCCCTGTTTTCTGAGTGTTGGACAGCAAATAGAAAACAGGGAAATTCCAGGCAGGAAACAATCAAATTGACATTTAAGGCCTCCCAACAAATGAGTCCCTTCCAGGGCCAACCCTTATTCTGCTATGCAGAAAGACACCATCCAAGCCCTCCCGACAGATGGCAATCCATACTTTGCATAGAAAACCTCAGAGTAAGAGGCTCCAAGGCAGCATATCCCACTGTCAAACGACCTAGGTAATTATTTTGGAATCCAAGGAGTTGTAGTTTGGCAAGGCAGCAGCGTTCCTTGGCAGAGAAGGCTCTTTGTGCTGGAAATGGGCATATAGACAAGCGGGTGGAAATTAGCCAAAACAGACAGCTCGACCAAGGCCTTCGGCGTTCTGCCAAGCTTTGAGAGATAAGGATGAGAGGCATTCAGGGAAAACGAAACCAATTTCTGAGTGCTTGGAATGGCTTAATGAGGGGATATAAAGTTCCAAGTGTGGGAAATATAGTCAGATGAAGCATTGTTTTAGAATCCTGCTAAGTTCTAGTTCTTGCCTCATGGAAGTTTTGCCTAGAAGATTAATGTTTAAGGATTTCTTTTCCATAGTTTGACTCTTGGTCTCTGGTGATTGTATACTCCTTTGGATTTTGATAGAGAAGAGTGGACTTTGTTTTGGACTTTGCTGGACCTTACCTTGGACTAATTTGTTCCTGCTTGTCTTCTTCCCTAATTGGATTTACCTATTCCTTTAAAGTGTTTTATTTTTTACTTTGCTGCTTTTACTTATCTTCAATAAAAGGATTGTTTTTTCCCTACTCAACGTGTGGTGTTTGCTGAACCTTACCTTGGACTAATTTGTTCCTGCTTGTCTTCTTCCCTAATTGGATTTACCTATTCCTTTAAAGTGTTTTATTTTTTACTTTGCTGCTTTTACTTATCTTCAATAAAAGGACTGTTTTTTCCCTACTCAACGTGTGGTGTTTGCTGAACCTTACCTTGGACTAATTTGTTCCTGCTTGTCTTCTTCCCTAATTGGATTTACCTATTCCTTTAAAGTGTTTTATTTTTTACTTTGCTGCTTTTACTTATCTTCAATAAAAGGATTGTTTTTTTCCCTACTCAACATGTGGTGTTTGCTGAACCTAACCTTGGACTAATTTGTTCCTGTCTGTCTTCTTCCCTAATTGGATTTACCTATTCCTTTAAAGTGTTTTTTTACTTTGCTGTTTTTACTTATCTTCAATAAAAGGATTGTTTTTTCCCTACTCAACGTGTGGTGTTTGCTGAACCTTACCTTAGACTAGTTTGTTCCTGCATGTCTTCTTCCCTAATTGGATTTACCTATTCCTTTAAAGTGTTTTATTTTTTACTTTGCTGCTTTTACTTATCTTCAATAAAAGGACTGTTTTTTCCCTACTCAACGTGTGGTGTTTGCTGAACCTTACCTTGGACTAATTTGTTCCTGCTTGTCTTCTTCCCTAATTGGATTTACCTATTCCTTTAAAGTGTTTTATTTTTTACTTTGCTGCTTTTACTTATCTTCAATAAAAGGATTGTTTTTTCCCTACTCAACGTGTGGTGTTTGCTGAACCTTACCTTGGACTAATTTGTTCCTGCTTGTCTTCTTCCCTAATTGGATTTACCTATTCCTTTAAAGTGTTTTTTTACTTTGCTGTTTTTACTTATCTTCAATAAAAGGATTGTTTTTTCCCTACTCAACGTGTGGTGTTTGCTGAACCTTACCTTAGACTAGTTTGTTCCTGCATGTCTTCTTCCCTAATTGGATTTACCTATTCCTTTAAAGTGTTTTATTTTTTACTTTGCTGCTTTTACTTATCTTCAATAAAAGGATTGTTTTTTCCCTACTCAACGTGTGGTGTTTGCTGAACCTTACCTTGGACTAATTTGTTCCTGCTTGTCTTCTTCCCTAATTGGATTTACCTATTCCTTTAAAGTGTTTTATTTTTTACTTTGCTGCTTTTACTTATCTTCAATAAAAGGATTGTTTTTTCCCTACTCAACGTGTGGTGTTTGCTGAACCTTACCTTGGACTAATTTGTTCCTGCTTGTCTTCTTCCCTAATTGGATTTACCTATTCCTTTAAAGTTTTTTTTACTTTGCTGCTTTTACTTATCTTCAATAAAATGATTGTTTTTTCCCTACTCAACTTGTTGTGTTTTAAAATCAGAGGGGATATTCCTGTCCTGGAATGCAACAGTCTCGTAATTCTGTTTCCTTTTCCTTCCCTGTAGCGTACTCCATCCCCATCCACAAGTATTGCTTCCCGCTGCTCTTTGTGGTGGGAATGGGCATCTGGTCTTTCCTGGAATATTTCATCCACCGCTTCATCTTCCACATGAAGCCGCCCGCCAGCAACTATTACCTGATCACCTTCCATTTTCTGCTCCATGGGCAGCATCACAAGGTAATTTCAGAAGTAACAGGCGTTTGCGGAATCTATTTTGGGAATACAAAACCTAAGAAACTGGTATGGGTTTGGATAGAGGCAGTGAGCTTCAACCCAAATATCACTCTGTAACCATTGTTCCTGGGATATCAATATCATTTCCTAATTGGTTCTTTCATAAAAACATGGGGAAAGTTTGTTAAACTGCACAAAGTTTATTTCTGCAGAAGGGACATCTCCTAGATTTTCAATCTCCTAGACCAGGTGGGCTAACTCAGGCCCGGGGGCCGGATGCGGCTACCTGGGCTCTTTTCTCAGGCCCTCCTCTCTCACACTATCTTTTACTTCCTTCCTTCTCTCTCTCCTTCCTTCCCTTCCTTCCTTCCTTGCCTCCTCCTTTCTCCCTCCCTCCTTCCTTCCCTTCCACCCTTTTGTCCTTCCTTCCCTCCCTCCCTCCCTCCCTTCCTTCCTTCCCTTTTATCTTTCCTCCCTCCCTCCATTCCCTTTCACCCTTCCTTCCATCCTTTTCTTCCTCCATTTCCTTCTTTTTTATTTCTTCCTTCCTTCCTTTCCTTCTACCTTTTGTTTGCTTTTTCCCTTCTTTTCCTTCTTCTTTCTTTCTTTCTTTTCTTATTCCTTTCTTTTTCTTCCTCTCCTACCTCCCTTCCTTCATCTCCTTCCTTTCCTCCCTCCTTCCTTCCATCCTTCCTCATTTCCTCCTTTTCGTCCTTCTTCCTTCCTTCCCTTCCTGTCTTCCTTTCCCTCTTTCCTTTCTTTCCTTCTTCCTTCCTTTCTTCTTTTCTACCTTCCTTTCTTCCTTTACTTCTTCTTTTTCTCTCTCTCTCCTTCCTTCCTTCCTTCCTTCCTTCCTTCCTCTCCTTCCTCTCTTCCTTCATCTCCCTCCTTCCCTCCATCTTCCTAATTTCCTTGTTTTGTTCCTTCTTCCTTCCTTCCTTCCTTCCTTCTTGGAAGACACGGATTATCTGGATCCGGCAAAGTCTGTCTTTAGACTGGGACATGGAACCGAGGCAGCCTTGGTCTCCTAAGTGGATTATTTACACCGGGAGCTAGACAGGGAGAGTGTGTCCCTATTGTTTCTGCTGGACCTCTCAGTGGCCTTTGACATCGTTGACCATGGTATCCTTCTGGGACGCCTCGCGGGAATGGGCATCGGAGGTACTGTTCTACAGTGGCTCCAGTCCTTCCTGGGGGGTGTTGTTGGGAGATACCTGCTCGATCCCACAGCCATTGTCTTGTGGGGTTCCTCAGAGCTCAATACGGTCTCCCATCTACATGGAGCCATTGGGGGAAATCATCCGGAGTTTCGGGGTGTGGTGTCACCTGTACGCAGATGGTGCCCAACTCTGTCACTCCTTCCCACCTGCTATTAAGGAGGCTGTCCAGGTCCTGAACCGGTGCTTGGCTGCTGTGACGGCCTGGATGAGGGTGAACAATTGAAATTGAATCCAGACAAGACAGAGGTCCTCCTGGTCAGTCGCAAGGCCGAACAGGGCATAGGGTTACAGCCTGTGCTGGATAGGGTTACACTCCCACTGAAGATGCAGGTTCGCAGCTTGGGTGTGATCCTGGATGTATTGTTGAGCCTGGAACCCCAGGTTTTGCTGGTGACCAGGGGAGCATTTGCACAGTTAAAGCTTGTGCACCAGCTGCACCTGTACCTTGGGAAATCTGACTTGATCACAGTAGTCCATGCTCTGGTTGCATCCTGTATAGACTACTGCAACACTCTCTACATGGAGTTGCCTTTGAAGACTGTTCAGAAGCTTCAAATGGTCCAGGTTGTAACAGGAGTGGCACTCAGGGAGCACACAACTCCTCTGATATGCCAACTTCACTGGCTGCCATTTTGCTACTGAGCACAATTCGAAGTGCTGGCTTTAGCCTATAAAGCCCTAACGATTCCAGCCCAGCTTACTTGTCCAAACGTATCTCTCGTTATGAACCATCCAGGAATTTAAGATTGTCTGGGGATGCCCTGCTCTCGATCCCACCTCCCTCCCAGTGGGGACGAGAGACAGAGCCTTCTCAGTGGTGGCCCCTTGGCTGTAGAACTCCCTTCCCAGGGATATTAGATCGGCCCCCTACCTTCTGACCTTTTGGGAAAGAGTAAAAACCTGGCTCTTCAAGCAAGCTTTTGGTAACACGGCATAATTGGATAAATACAGTGTGATGAAATAAGGAACACGGAACAGCTTAGATGATGCAAATAGATAAGGAGTCGAACTGGTAGACATTAATTTTTATAGTTTTAATTGGTTTTTATATGGATTTTTATTATGTATCTATGTATGTTTATGGCATCTAATTGTTGCCAATCTGTACCCCGCCCCGAGTCGCCTTTGGGTTGAAAAGAGCGGGATAAAAAGAGTTTGCAAAACTGAAAGCGGTTTAAAGTGGCGTCAAACCACATTCGTCCTGCAGTGTAGACACACCCTAAGTTAGGTTTAGCAACTGCCCTGAGTTGGAGCATTTAGCAATTCGTTGCCTCTCATTTAAAAAGAGATGCCCACAATAATATTCTCGGAATGTGCATGCGTTAACTAGTTGAACATGCTTCGTACAAATTGGGGCAACGGAATCCCACACAGGGATGAAATAAGTGCTTTCCTTTGTGTGAAAGCAGGGGAAAAAAGTCATTCCAGCTATTCACAGCTGAGCATCTTTGATTTGCTAGTGTCTACTGTTGCTGCATTGTGTGTTCGTTGCGCACTAAAGCACAGATTTAACTCTGTTCATGGGCCTGGTGTGTTCCTGGTTGTTTCTTCTTTAACTGGAAGCAGAAATGTTCTGTTCTTGGTTCGAAAGTGTTATTTCCTGTTTCATGGTGAGGTCCTTACTTTGAGTTAAACTGCTGAGCTGCTGAACTTGCTGACTGAAAGGTCACAGGTTCGAATCCGGGGAGCAGCTTGAGCTCCCACTGTTAGCCCCAGCTTCTGCCAACCTAGCGTACAAATACACAAATGTGCGTAGATCAATAGGTACCACTCTGGTGGGAAGGTAACAGCGCTCCATGCAGTCATGCTGGCCACATGACTTTGGAGGTGTCTATGGACAATGCTGGCTCTTTGGCTTAGAAATAAAGATGAGCATCAACCCCCAGAGTTGGACACGACTGGACTTAATGTCAGGGGAAAAACATTTACACACACACACACACACATGCGCTTTGGGTGGCATCGGGAAGGGTTAACAACCCTGTTGTGTTTTGTTTACTGTTCCTCTGGAGAAGAAGTAGCTGTTCTGGGATTCTGGGAGGGTGTCTTAAGGATTCTTGTGAGGATTTTCCCAGCGAAGATACCTCAATAGTTTCTGCAGTCGGTTCTGTTTTTTGAAAAGGGTGATATGGTGGCATTCTTGAAATCTTCTGGGATTTTCCCGGTCACCCACAATTTTTCACTGACCTGGTGGAGTTGTTGTGACAGCTCAGGTCCACCCTCTTTAAAGTTTTCAGCAGGGATCCCATCAGGTCCGCTGGCTTTGTTATTTTATTTTTTGTTGGCGGGTGGCGTTGCTGCCTTCCTCCAAGCTAGGCAGTGTTGCAAACTCATCCCTGATTTGTTGTTGTAGGATTTGTGAGAGAAAGTCCACCCTCTTTAAAGATTTCAGCAGGGATCCCATCAGGTCCGCTGGCTTGTTATTTTATTTTTTGTTGGCGGGTGGCGTTGCTGCCTTCCTCCAAGCTAGGCAGTGTTGCAAACTCATCCCTGATTTGTTGTTGTGGGATTTGTGAGAGAACCTCTTCGGCCACATTGGAGCTGTGATTCATGAGGTTGTGGTAGTGCCCTTTCCAACGTAGTGAGATTGATTTTTTTTTTGTCCTTTAGAACTTTGGTTCCATGAGATGAGCATAGAGGGTGTATGCCATGATTTCTTGGTCCGTAGATGACCTTTGTGGCTTAAAGAAATCCCTGTTCAGAAGATTTCATCTCACTTTCTATAAATGTGAGAATTTGATTTTGGAAAAATTGATTTGTTGTGGAAACATGGAGTGGGGATAAAGCTTCATAGGAGACCCCATTCCCCATGATAATAACTCTTCCAGGAGTGGATTTCCCTTCCTTCTGAGGTGGATGTTTCTCTCACTTCCTATTGACTTACCCTTGTTTATAAGTCGGGTGTTTGTAACTTGGGGACTTGAGAAGCAGATGGCGGAAACAGAAGAACGGCCTGCCTCAGGGGAGCGTGCTTGCTCCATCCATGTTCAACATCTACACAAATGACCAGCCACTGCCAGAAGGGACAGAGAGCTTCATCTATGCTGATGATCGTGCCATTACTGCTCAAGCAGGGAGCTTTGAGATGGTTGAACAGGAGCTCTCCGAAGCTCTAGGTGCTCTTACTGCCTATTACAGGGAAAACGAACTGATCCCTAATCCATCTAAAACACAGACATGTGCCTTTCACCTTAAGAACAGACAAGCATCCCGAGCTCTGAGGATTACCTGGGAAGGAATCCCACTGGAGCATTGCAGCGCACCCAAATACCTGAGAGTCACTCTGGACCGTGCTCTGACCTACAAGAAGCACTGCCTGAACATCAAGCAAAAAGTGGGTGCTAGAAACAATATCATACGAAAGCTGACTGGCACAACCTGGGGATCACAACCAGATACAGTGAAGACATCTGCCCTTGCGCTGTGCTACTCCGCTGCTGAGTATGCATGCCCAGTGTGGAACACATCTCACCACACTAAAACAGTGGATGTGGCTCTTAATGAGACATGCCGCATTATCACGGGGTGTCTGCGCCCTACACCACTGGAGAAATTACACTGCTTAGCCAGTATTGCACCACCTGACATCCGCCGGGAAGTAGCAGCCCAT